GCAGGGGGTGACGGAGGGGGGAGGGGAGGGGGAGGGGAGAGGGAGGGGGAGGGGAGGGGGAGGGGAGGGGAGGGACAGAGCGCGGAGGGTCGGCGTCCCTGCGGAGCGGGACCTCCCGAGGCCCGGGGGGCTGCCAGCCCCTGCCCCTTCCGGGACCTCCTCGCCGGTCCGGGGGGGGGGGGATTCCACTCGGCCTGCCGTCCCATCCCCCACTCCTCTGTCCCCCCACTGCCCCACCGGGCCCCCAGCCCTGTGGCCAAGGGGCACCGGGCGCCGCCGTGACCCGTGGCAGCGGAGCCCTCCGCGGCTGAGCGAGGTCACGGCGCGTGAGGCCGCGCTGAGCCCGCCGGGAGCGAAGGTCCGGCGCCGCCCGCCGCCCCGGGGGGAACCCGGCAGGCGGTCCTGTGCCGCGGACCTGGGCCCCGGGCCCCTCCCCCCTTTCTCTGCCCTCGAGTCCGCCCCTCGGTCCCCCCCGCCCCTCCCCTCTGGCCCAGCGCCGGCCCCTCGGCCTACCCCACGTCAGTGCAGACCCCGACCCCCACCCCAGGGGCGGGGACCCCCTTCCTCGCTTCCCCCCCTCGCCCCCCAGGTCCAGCCTCCCGCACCCGCCCCTGCTGGCTCCTCTGGCTGTCCCCCCACCCACACCCACCTCGATCTGCCCTTCTTTCAGCAAAACTCCCAAAATCTCACCTTTCACCCACCCACTTCCTGGGGCCTCGGGCGGCGGAGTCGCCAGGAGTGCGGCCAGAGCTCACCTTTCCACTCCTGCCCTGTGCGCTCACCTGGGGGGGCCGCTGCCGCCTCGCGGGCTGGTCCCGCTGCGGCCCTGGGGCCCCGGCCTGCCCCGTCCCGGGCCGCCCACCCCCCGCCCTCCTGCTACCCCTGCCTCCCCCAGGCCCCCCCACCTGCGTCTTCCCCGGGGTCTCCCCTCTCTCTGCCCACCGGCTCTGTCTCCTCTCAGGCCTCCCGGGGCAGGGCCGGAGTCAGGGAGGGCGGCGGCACTGAGACCCCTCCCCCCACCCCTTCAGGGCCTCAGGAGCTGGGCGCAGGGAGGCCGCAGGGCAGACCTGCACGGGAGCAGCAGGCAAGGCCGGGGGGCCGTCCCCGGCCCCCAACTGTCCCCTCAAGTGACGGAAGCTCCCACCCGTCAGCTTCCACTGGGGCCGGGCAAAGGCCGTTTTCTCCCCGACGCTCATCCTGATCCAGTTCCCAGACCTTGGCCCGGGGAGTTCCGTGGGGGCCCAGGCCAGCGGGCAGCTTGGCCCTGCCCCCGGGGCTCGGGAGCAGGTGTCCTCCCTGGGCTCTGGTCCTGTGTGGTGGGCGGGTCACTCTGCCTGTCCCCCGCGGGCCTGTGCCCGCTCGGGGCTGGACCTGCGACCCGCTGGGCCAACGAGCCCCGGACGCCGGCTCAGCAGAGTTGCAGGGGCTCCGGCTGGGGCAGGGCCCGGGGGTGCGGGGGACACAGCTCCGTCCTGAAGGGCGTCCGGACCCTCGCCGGGGGCGCTGAGGACCCGGCTCCGCGTCTCCCGGAGTCCCTGCCAGCTGGAGGAGCAGGGACGCAGCTGTGGGTGCCCGCTCGGGGGCAGGGTGAGGCGAGGACCCCGCAGATGTGGGAGGGGAGGCCCAGCTGGCGCTCGGAGCCAGTGCCGGGCGGGGGCTGCTGGCGCTGGGCGGCGGGGTGGTCTCCGCTCAGGCAGCCTTCCCGGGCTGGGAGCCTGGCAGCTGGTGCGGTGGGGGGGGGGGCCTGGCCCCAACTCTGGGAGGTCCGGGCACACTGCGTGTAGCTGCGGGGGGCGGGGGGTGGGGGGCGGGGGGCGGGGGCGAGGGCGCGGGAGTGACCTCCATCCGGGCCGGTGGCCGGGCGCTGCGGGGAGAAGCCTGGGGTCAGGGGCGCACGACCGGTGCGCTGTGCCCAGTGTGCGTGCACAGCCCATCCCCCACCGGGCCGCAAGTGTGTGCCGCCCTCGGGGGCCTCTGCGGTCAGCGTGGGAGAGACCACCACTACCCGCTGCCCGAGGGACGGCTCCTGGGAACTGGAGGTTTTCGCGCGGCCGTCCAGGCTGCCCCGTCCCAGCCTCCCCCGGCACCCAGCGGTCCGACCCGCTGGCCCCTTGGGTGGGTCCCTGTGGGCCTCTCAGGAGCTCTGGGGGGGCCCCTCGGGGGTCTGCCGCTCGGCGTGGGGGAGGGAAGGGCGTGAGACTGAACACGTGGAGTAGAGGGGCCGGGGAGCGAGTGCACGGCCCCCTGAGGGGGGCGGGGGGGCAGCCGGGGCGCTGACCCCCTGGGGGGGGCACGGGGCCGCCTGGGAGCTCCCTCTGAGACCCGCGGGGCCCGGGGGCCTCCGCCGCGCACACACCTGCACAGACACACACACCTGCACACACACACACACCTGCACAGACACACACACACCTGCACAGACACACACACCTGCACACACACACACACACACACACACGCAGCCTCACACGGAGGCCAGGGCAGACGGCCGCCCCTCAGCATCCGTCTGTCTGCACCCCCAGGACCCCTGCCCTCTGGCCCCCAGGCCCGGTGAGCCCTAAGGCTTCTAAGTCTCACACAGCCCCGCCCTCCTCGGTCCCCTGCCCTGGTCCCCAGCCCCAGGCCGGCTGCAGCAGCCCCTCCCAAGGAGGCCTGGGGCGCGCCCCCTCCCCGCAGGGGGAGGGAGGCAGTGGAGGCTCAGCAGGCGCCTGGCAGGGGAGCATGGGGGTGGGGGGGCTTGCTCCTCGACCCCTGCCGGGCAGGCACACGAGGGCTCGGAGCCAGAGGTGGTCTCCACAGCTGGCTGTTCTCCTATGAGGCCATGGGTCCCCCCAAAACGCTTCTGGAAAAGATGTGTCTCTAAACAGAGTGAGTGCTCTCCATCCCTGGGCCTTCTCCGAGCCCCATCCTGGGGGAGCCTGGGGGCAGGGGGGTGGGGGGGAGGGAGGGGAGAGGAAGGGGAGGGAGGCAGGCAGGTGAAGAGACACCACCAGAGGAGGAAGGTGAAATCGAGCCCCGCAGGCTGACAGGACTCAGGACCAGCCGGGGAGACCACTCCCAGCCCCTGCCCGCCCCTCTGGCCCAGCCCCTCTCGCTCTGCCCCTCAGGCAACAGTGAGAACCGAGGTGTCTCCCTTAAACCCCAGCCGGCGGCCCTGCTGTGCACGGGCCCAGGCTCGGCCCCTCCCTGGCGAGAGGCAGCCTCCCGGCCAGGACGCCTGGGACCCCGCATCCTGGAGCCGGAGTCCCGGCTGCTGTCCTGCAGCTGCCCCCTTCGCCCCTGCCTCCCCGCCCGGCCCACCCTCCTCCGCACCAGCGCGTTCTCAGCAGACCCCACCCCCCCACCCCCCACTGCTCGCCTCCTGGGGGCTGAGGTCTCAGCTGGGGGGTTGGGGATTGGGGTCCAACCTCCTTGCTCTAAGTCTTACTCTAAAGTGAAGACGCAGTGGCAGCCTCTTCTCCCAAATCTCTCCAGTGGAGGAGACAATGGAACAAACTCGGGGCGCGCCCCAGCAGAGCCGGGCAGCCGCGGGGCCGGGGTGGGGGATGCCAGAAAGCAGGCAGCCCTCGCGCCCAGAAGAGCGGCCTGGCCCTTCTCTCCAAAAGTGCCGACCACCGAGTCCATCCTCGGGGGGAGGGAGGTGACGGCACACTCAACCCTGCATCCACCTGGGCCCCTCCCCGCTGCCCGCGCCGTCCAGGCCTTGGCCCTTGGGCGGGAGACTCTGGGCTGGGGAGAGCCGGGGACTATGCTCGCCATCAGGCCGCCGCGGCCCTGCACGGGGTGGGGGTGACCACCCAAGACGGCCTCATTCCGCCGCAGTGGGAGCAGGGACCACCCCGCAGCGGCCCTCCTCCTCCCGGACTGCCTGGGAGGGGCGGGCGGAGGGCGGCGCCCCGCTCGCGGCCCCGGCCTGTGTGTCCCGCGGACGCAGCCGAGGCAGGGCGCAGGCCCGGGGCCTACTTCTCCTCCCCTCGGGAGAGGCGCGGCAGGAACGAAAGCCACACAACCACCAGCCAGGCGTCAGTGACGGGTTTTGGATCTAAATGGATTTATTGTTTGTTTTCTCCCCCCTCCCCAGTTTCATAGCAAATGGAAACAGAAGCCGACACCACAACAGAACTCGGAGCGAGCGAGCGAGCGAGCGAGCGGCCGTGCGCCCTGCTCCCGGGCTCAGCGGGAGCCCGGCCCGGCTGGGGGCCCGGCCAGGGGCCTGCGCGGGCCGGAGCAGGGCCCCCCCCCTCCCCAAAGCGATCAGGCTGTTAAAAAAGATGCCACAAACAAAACGGAACACAGTTTAAGCGGGAGTAAAAACACTTTCTTTCCCCACCCCCATGCCGGGAGGTTCAGGCCAAAACCCCCTCTTTAAAATGTTTTTTCTGCTAGAAATACGGTGCATACTTTTTCTTCTGTCACGTCTCTCGAAGGTTAAAATAAGACCTGTTTCCCCGGAGTCATAAACACGACGGGGTGCAGAGAGGAAGCAGCACGGCCCAGGCCCCGCCCCCCGTCGGGGCGGCGGGGCGGCGGGACCGAACTCGGCCTGGGGGCGGGGGGGGGGGGGGGGCGGGCGGACCGGGGCCAGGCCCCTCCGAGCGGGCGACACATGCTGGGACACGCGGACGTCCAGGGGTGACCCCGGAGGGAAGTTGGGAGCTTCTTCCGGGGCCTTGTTTTCTCATCACCAAGCCAAATAAATACAAATGCTTCGAAAATAAGACCGTTTTAAATCGGGGAAGTAAAAAAGGGCCAGGATGGGCGGCGAGAGGCAAGGAGGGCGGGGCTGCCGGGGACGGGCCCTGGCCCCGCGGCGGGCAGGGCGGCGCGCGGACCCAGACCGCGCCGGCAAATGTACACGTGGGCGCCTGCAAGCAAGTTCGACCCGCGGCGACTTTTCCCGGACGCGGATCGCTGCGCTCTGAGCGCGGGGAGTCGCGGCCCCGCAGCTGCGCGGACCAGGGGGCGGCGCCGCGCGAAGGGGCCTCCCGTCCGGCGCCTGCGGACGCGGAGCCGGGCGCCCGGCGCTGGCCCGGCCGGAGACGGCGGCGTTGGCTCGGGACGGCCTTGCGTCCTCGTCCTGGGCCTCGGAGTCCGAGCCTCTTCCCGGCGGCGGCGCGGGGCGCGGTCTCGGGCCTGGAGCTCACAGGAAGAAGTCGGGCGCGCCCTTGGCCCCGCCGGGGCCGGCCTGCGGCGGCGAGGACTCCCGCGGGAAGCCGGTCCCGCCCGCGCCCCCGGGGCCACTGCGGCCCGCCAGCTTCTCGTATTTCTCCTTGTACAGGTCCCGCTCCTTGGCCAGGCGCCCCACCTCCAGCTTCAGCTGCTCCACCTGGCTCTGGAGCTGGCACTTCTCGCTCTCCAGAATGTGCCGCTGCTGCACCCGCTTGAAGCGGCACGACTGCGCGTAGCCGCGGTTCTTGAGCGTGCGCCGCTTCTGCTTCAGCCGGATGACCTCCTCCTTGCTGAAGCCGCGGAGCTGACGGTTCAGCTCGCGCACCGACATGGACACCAGCTGGTCGTCGGAGAAGCGCTCCTCCAGGCGCACGTGGTGGCCTGTGCCGCCCGCGCCGGGGCCCGGGCCACCGTGGTGGTGGTGGTGGTGGTGGTGGTGGTGGTGGTGAGCCGCGTGGTGGTGGTGGTGGCTGGTGTGATGCGCGCCGTGGTGGTGGCCGGCGCCCACGTCGTCCGCGCCGCCGCCGCCGCCCGCGAAGCCCTGGCCCCGGAAGGCCTCGTAGGCCGTGGCGGTCGCCGGGTGGTGCGCGCCGTGATGCCCGACGTGGTGGCCGCTGCCGATGAGCGCCTCCACCGCGTCCTCGGGCGTCAGGTTGAGCGCCTCGGGGTTCAGGTGGTGCTGATAGCCGCTCATCCAGTACAGATCCTCCAGGGCCGGCTTCCCCGAGGCGCCTCCGACGGCGCCGGGGCCGCCGCTCGTCGGCCCCGGGGCGCTCCCGGCCTGCGCCGCGCCGACACCACCCCCCGCGCCGCCGCCGCCGCCGCCGGTGCCCGGGCTGGGCGCGCAGAAGCTGGGCGAGGAGGGCACGGAGGAGCAGGGCGTGCTGAGCGGCGTCGAGGACAGCGAGCCGGGCGGCAGGCGGTGGCAGAAGCGTTCGGCCTCCGGTGGCTCCTTCTTCACCTCGAACTTCATCAGGTCGAAGTCGTTGACGTACTCGATGGCCAGCGGGCTACTGGGCAGCTCGGCGCCCATCGCCAGCTCCGCGGCCATCGCCCGGGGCCGGGCCCGGTTGCAACCCAAAGGAGGGCGTCTTGGGGGGGGGAGCCGCGAGCCTCTCCCCCCCCTCCGATCGCCAGGGCGTCGGGTCCCAGCGGGACGGCGGGTGTGGGGAGGCAGCTCTGGGCCGCCGCGCCGAGCCGATCACGGAGCAAAGTTTCGCGCAGTCAACTCAGGGGCGTCCGCTGGGCACGCCGCCGGCCCGGTCTCTCGCGCCGGCCCGGGCCGCTCCCCAGCGGGCGCAGGCCAGCCGCACTGCCCTGACCCCGCGCCAGAGCCCGGGCAGGTGGCCGGGCCGGAGGCGGTGCATGCGCCACCTCTGGCTGCTGGGACTCAGGGCGCCGCTCCCGCGCTCGGCCGGCCCCGCCTCCACGGCCGAGCGCCGCGCTGAGCGCTCCCCTTTATAGAACCGGGCGCCTGGGCCCGCCTCCTCGGGAGGGGCGCGCGACCCCGGGCCAATAGGATCCCCAGAACCGCCGCCCTCATTTGCCTATCCCCATGGCAACCCGGAGCCCAGCTGTCAATCTCCTGCGGGGAACAGCTGTGGGAGGGGGTGGTGACCGGCCGCTGGCTAGAGGAGGGGGCAGGGCCCTCTGGTGGCCGCCGCCGGGGACTGCAGCGGCAGAGGACCCGGGGGGCGCGGGGGCGCGAAGCAGAGGGGTGCCGGGCCTGGGGACCGGCCTGCGGTCTCCGGTGCCTCGCGTCCGCGACGGGGCGGCCGGAGAGTCTCGGGGAGCAGAGGGCGCCCCTCGGTCCCCTCGCCGCCCCGCTGTCTGGGACCCCGCAGCCCATTCTGCGGCCCTTCCCGGCCGGTGGGGAGGCCACGTCCCGCCCGCCGGCGTGACAGTGCGGGGACCTTGCGGCCTGCCGGCACCGTGACACTGCGGCCCCGCCGGCGCTGCGCGGGGCGCGCGGGTTATTTTTAGCGCGCGGTTCAGGCGGGTTCAGGAATTCAGTCAACAAAGTTGCTGGCACCTCGGCGCCGCGGGATCCGAGGCGCGCGGCGCAGGTGGGGCGGGAGGCGCGCGGCGGGGGGCGGGGCGCGGCGTCTGGGCTCCCGAGTCGGGACTCCCGGCCCCAGCTGCCACCAGCCCGGCTCCGGCGCGAGGCGGGGGTGCGGGACGCGGTGCCGGGTGTGGCTGGCACGGCGGGCGGGGGTCGGAGGGCTCCAGCGCGAGGAGAAAAAAGCCAGAGCCGCGGTGGCCGCCCGGAGCGGAGGCCCGCCTGGTGGCCCAGGGCTCGGGGACGGCGAGGAGGACGGTGACGCGGAGGGCACCGGAGCGGGCTCGACAGCGGTGGGAGGGGCCTGGCCCGGTTACGCCTCTCGTCTCTGCACTGCCGTTGCAGGACTTTCGCAGTGTGAAACCTCAGCGTTCCGAGTAAGCATTCACGCAGAGAAAGAGAAGTCTGGAAGGATGCGGGCAGGAAGCCACCAGCGGCAGCCTAGCCAGGGACGGGGGGCACTTGGCTAACAGGGCTCGTGCCTTCTCCCGGGCGCGAATGTCTGTGACTTATAATAAAGACTCATTCGCTTGGGAGCGAGGGCTGCTGCCCGCCCGGGACGTCACGGGGGGGGCGCCACATCTGCCCGTCGCCCCGCCCCCACATCCTGCACTCTCCCGTCAGACAGGGCCAGGCCGGGCACCGGGACCCACCCTGCAGGGAGGGCCCAGCAACCGGCAGAACCGAGACCCCAGGCCAGGTGCTCAGGCTCCAGGCCACGCCGGCCGCCCAGAGCAAAGCGGGTTTGAGGCTCCCTTTAAAGCCTGCACTGTCGGCGCGAGGGGGGGCGGGGTCCTGCCTCAGGAGCGAGGCCTGGCCTGCCTGTGGGGAGGGCACCTGCCCTGGGCGGCCCTGCCCTGGGCGGCCCCGCCCCTGGCCTCTGCCTGGGGCACTGTGGCCGCAGCCTGGCTGTTGGACCACGCGAAGGTGCAGTCCCCGGCCCAGGAGGACGCTGGGGTGGAGGAGCCGGACCCCAGGGGCCAACGTGGGCCTCCTCACAGCTCCTGGCCTCCGACTAAGGGGCCTGGAGCCATGGCCGTGTTCGGGCTGCACGGCACCCCCAGTCCTGAGAGGTGCAAGCAGGCAGTCAAGGCTAGGACGGCCCGACCCAGCCATTCGAGCCCACCCGGAGACTCTCCGAGGCCCGTGCTCAGCCACCCCCAAGGCAGGTGCCCCCGCAATCTGCCCCAAAGGGTGAGGCTCACAGATGCTGGCCTTCGGCTGGCGGCCCAGGGCCAGCCCGCCCTCCATTTGTGCTTGCACGCTCGCGCACACATACACACACACACCCATCCCCTCACCTTGTCTGTTCACTCCCTCCTCCACGGGGGGCGGCACAGCCAAGCTGGGCAGCTGCCGTCAGAGTGGGGGAGAGGCACGGGGGCATTCGGAGCTCAAGGTCCCCGGACCCAGTGCAGCCTGGACTCGGGGGCTGCTGGAGGCTGCACAGGGCACTCACGTCCCCCACTGGCCTGGACTTGGCCTGGGTCGGAGCGGCTTTCTGGAAGCGCTCCTGGCCCCCACCCCTGGGCCTGGGAGCAGCCGGCCGTGGGGAGGTCCGTGGCCCTCCGGGGCCCCTGCCAGCCTCTGGGCCCACACCCTGGCCTCTGTGCAGTCTCAGTCCTGCCCGCTGGCCCCGGCCGGCCGGGGTGGAAGAGCCCGGGGAGCCCCTGCACCCGGGCCTCACAGGCCCACCCCTCTGGCCCAGCAGGTAGGTGTCTCCCGGCGCGGGGCAAGGCCTGGTGGGGGGGAAGGGACTGCAAGGGGGTGCTCAGCTGGGTCCTGGGAGCAGCGGCTGGGAGGGCCCAGGTCCCCCTGCCTGCCTGCCTGCCAGGAGCAGCCAGCAGGAGCACCGCAGAAGACCCAGGCCGCGCCGTCCCACCTGCTCCCTCAGCAGCCCCCCTTGCCCCAGAAGGGGCTCGTTTCCTCCCGGTCGGGTCAGTGGCGCGACCCCCCGGGGCCCCTCACACCCCTCAAGGCCTCGGCCCTGGCGCCCACGGAATTCCGCGGGGACTTCTCTTGTGGTTTGTAACTCAACACACTCCCCAAACCTTTATTGAGCGCCTACTATGTGCCAGTCCACCGGCCCCAGGGGCACCTCCAACCAGGGAGGTGGCCCAGGGGTCCCTGGTTGAAAAAAAACCCTCAGAACTTGACAGAGTTCCGGGTTCCGTGGGGAACGGGCAGCCCTGGGCGCCGACAGCTGGGAGGGCTTGGAGGGCACCTGGGGGCCGCAGCCGTGAGCACTGCACGCGGGCCCACACCCGGCAGAGCGCGGTGGCCGTCAGCCGGACCAGCGCCGTGCCGCGTCACCCCGCGTGGCTCGCGAGGGCCCCCCCCCAGCATGGCGGCTGAGTGCGCAGGCGACCGAGGGAGCCAGTGCCGTGCCTGGCGTTTCTGTCGGTCCCAAGGGGCACTGCTGGCCCGGGCCCGGCGGGAGGGCCAGACGGCAGGACACAAGTGCCGGATGGCAGGACAAGTGCCACCCCTAGCGCAGCCTCTTTGGGGAACAGTCTGTGAGAGCTGGGGGTCCGAGGGGAGGAAGTCAACCAGAAATAGTGAGTGAGGTTTACAGTGTATCAGCTTCCTGTTGCTACTTGGTTACCACACTTAACACAGTTACTATCTCCCAGCCTCTGTGGTCTGGGGTCCCGCAGGACTGGGGGGGGGTCCCCCCAGGGTGCCAGGGTCTCTTCTGGAGCTTTCTCTGGGGAAGGACCCTCCAGGCTCCCCAGGTTGCTGGCGGGACCACTTCTTCGAGTCTGAGGCTCCCAGGCCCGACTCCACCCTTGGCTGCCCCACCCCCGGGGCAGCCCCATCGAGGAGCCTGACATCTGTAAGCGATGTGATCCCGTCAGGTCCTCTGGGTGGAAGCAGGCCCCAGGTCTCGCCGGCCTCAGGGTAAGGGGCCCCGCCAGTGCAGAGCAGCAGCACAGTGTTGGGGGACTCGCCATGGGCCTGTCCCCTCCTGCAGCATGTGAGGTGAAAGGTCAGCAGGAGCGGGAGTGGCCTGGCCTGATGCGCGGAGGGGTTGGAGCTCCAGGCGACCTCCGGCCTGGAGGCGGGGCACTCTGTGGGAGCCCCTGGACCACGGGGGCCAGGCCGGCCGGCTCCGTGAGCGCGCTCGGGGGCTCCCCGGCTGCCCTGGCCGCAAGGCCTGGCCGCTGCCTGAGCCTCGCGGTCGCGCTCCCTCAGAAGCCGCCCAGGAGCCAGCGCCAGGGGGATGGGCACGGGGGGTCAGTTTCGTCCCTGGGAGGCAGTTACCTGGCCGGCCCCCTGCGTGGAAAAGAGGAGGGGAAGCTGCAAACCTCCCCCAGCCCGCAGGGCCCAGCTGGCCCCCCCTCAGCCTCACTCCCTGCCCCGGGCCCTGTCTTCCTGGGCTCAGGGGCCCACCGTGGGCCGGCCACCGTTCTGGGGGTGTGCCCACAGCAGCCACGGTGGGGGCGCAGGGCACAGGAGCCTCCTTGAGGAGGGGCTCCACTGCCACCGGCACCCCTTCCCCTGTTCAGGCCCCCCCCAGGTCCTGTCTGTGCCCCCACGCCCCCACCTCAGGCCCCTCGCCTCTCTGAGACGGAAGGCCCCAGGCAGACGCCTGGACACCCACAGACGTGGGGCTCAGACGTGGGCCCCGGCCCCGAGTCCCCCTCAAGGAGGAACCCCAGCCCAGCTGGGGGGACGCTCTGCTGCAGCCGGGGCGCAGCCCACGGGGTCCACTCTGCTGGCCCCACAGCCCCGGGCCCCACCCGGACCACGGTCCCCCCCGCTGCACAGGCGCAGGCCCCTCACTGCTCCTGGTGGCCACCCTCACTCGAGGCTCCCCGTCCTGGGGCCCTCGGCCTGCCAGGTGGGCAGTCTGGAGCCCCAGGCAGCCCTGCCCAGGCAGGGGCTGCGTCCAGGCAAGGGCCTGCCCCTCCTCCGTCTGCGGGTGGGAGTGGCCTGCACCTTCCCCCTCAAGGGTCTTCCCGGGCAAGAGCCTGGAGCGGCCAGTGGGCACCCTCAGCTCCCCCTGGGAGTGGGGCTGTTGCCCAGGCCGTCTGAATAGGTCCCCAAATGGGTCACGAGGTGGAGGGTGGGGGACTGTGCCCAGGAGCACAGGGCAGTGAGTGGCCTGGCACCTCCCACTTCCAGATCG